GGGGCAGGATCAGCTTTGTTAACCCTGAACCTTAGGATGCTTTGGGTCGGGGACGCCTGTCGGCTTAAGCGGGGTAGGGGTGGCCCATGGTGCCCCCACCTATACACAACCACAACCACCCGCCGCCACACCGCGCTGCGTCACGCACCGCACCGGCGCGGCCACCACCACCGCCGCCGTCACCGTCACCATCACCATGAACAGGAACAGCAACCACCACAACAGCACAGCATGTATTTTCATGCCTGTGCTCGGACGTCACTTGGTTGAGAGATAGAATTCGGACGTCGAGACAGCCCCTGACCGGCCAATATCCTTTATGACTCTAGTGATGTTACCCATAATGAAACGCAAGTGACCACAATGTCGAGCTTTTTCGAAGCTCCTTTCGGAACTATGCATGCGAATGCATGCCTGTTTCGATATTGGGGGCGACCTTCACGAAGACCCTAAGTGATCTCAACGGGCTGGACCCTTGGCATCAGCAAATCTCCGTCCGTGTGAAAGCCAACGGTAGCACGGAGGCTCGAGCAGTCCGGACGGTATCGTTCCCAGAGGCGCGAGCAGGGGAGGTGGCCTTGGAGGGTTTGAGGTCGGAGTTAGGGTTCAGGGTTTTGGTTCTCGGATTTGGGCATGTGGCGTTTAGCGCGCAGGAGGCGGGTTCTCACCTGTGCACCCATGAGCAAGTTGTTCTTGAAGCGTTTTCGGCGGCTTCGTTGATGGACTTCTCCCTCAGCTGCCGAGTTTAAGGTCGATATAGCTGAAGAAATTTCAAGGAGCTCGAGAGCCTTTCGGATCAATGATGGGGGGCAAGCCCTGTCATTAAGGGTTCGTGATGTAGGCAGACACGCGCTGAATGCCAATGACCATGAAACTAGTTCCGACAATAGCAGGGTTCAGATGGACATGATGGAGGGCTAAGGGCTTGGAGTGTGAAGTCGCTGCAGGACCCATCCAGTGGAGCCCCGACGAGGCCTCGATTCTTGTGTTTTGACCCAGGTTCTTGGAGCTCAGGGTTTGGAGCCACAGTCCAGCTGGGGTTTCGGACGTAGGCTTCTTATTCGGGGCTTCCTCAAGCCGTATGTCCTCTGGAGGACTGAGTGCCTCATTTGGACTTTTGAACTTCAGTGTTGAGTCGCAGACAAAGACATCGGGCGTTGGTTGGGCAGGTGCTTGATTTTAACCTCATCCCGCACGGACAAAAATCCTGGCAGCGTGCTGCATTACCCCCATCACCAAAGCTAGCATTTGAAGCCTTCCCGACCTCAGCCGCCCCAACTCCGTCAACGACAGGCTCAATGTTAGTTCATGTTCTAGGAGTGGAGCACTCAGGATACCCACAAATCTGAGGCGAAGCGAAGCCGTAACAGTTTCGAATGCGGAACTTGGCACCCTCCCGGATCATTTCTCATGTAAGACTCTAACTTTGGCGGTTAAGGCTTGAGCTTTCGAGGTAGGACTAAGTAGAGGACGTCGAGGACAAGGGCTGGAAGCTCTGCCCGGGTCCCGAAGCTTGGCCTGTTTGGATCAGCTCCCTGTGCCGCGTCTCATAAGAAGGGCATGCACCTATGTATAGGGGGTTCATATCGAACCTAGTGGACGATAACTCGACGATATCTGTTTGGTGTTGATACTTGCCTGTATTTTGCCACGGTCTCCACACATGCATGCCATGTGGCTATATCAATGTATCTTGTTATTCAGTTTGGTGTTCAACCGCCGTGTAATCTTACTTTGCTGTCGTAGTTCATAATGCTGTTATAGCTGCCACTACACAAACTGTTAGCCAAGGTCGTAGCATCCCGAAGCGTGATCTTGTTGTTGGCTTAAAAAGCCATCACAGTGGTACCAGATGCTATAACCAGCAGTAGAAAGCCTTTATTAGACATTCCGACTGCTTCACGGGGTCTCAGATTCGCTTCAGCAACCCGACCATTTGCCCGTCATGCACTCTTCCGAGAACTTTACATGACCGTTCAGACGTTATAAGGTTCTACTTGTACAGTTATGCTTGTCGTTGGTGCCGTGTTTAATACTTCACCGATTCAGGGCTCGATGCTCCTGGGGCCAGTGTCGAAGGCGCTCGTGTGCCTTTAAACACAGAAGCACCGGACCCGTCCCCCAAACCCTAGGCCCTACGGCATTCCCAAATGCTATGCCGCAAACCCGGGCAACCCAACGACGCAACAAGGTTGGCCAGCCAGAGGAAGGTCCCGGTGCTGCGGAGCAGGGCTACTATGGTAGGGCACCAAGCCAGTGTTCAGGGTTTCGGATTTAGGGTTTCGGGTTTAATTAATACCATTCTTAACCTTTGCGAGTTTATGTCTTGTTGGTTCTCTGACCGCGATTTGGTTTTCGTGTTGGCTTGTTTGGGGAGTATACTGTAGCAGAAAAAGTCAACCGGGTCCACGTGCTTCTTTGTCTTGCTCTGGGGCGCAGGGTTGCTATCGCAGAAGAGACCAACGAGGTCCGCATGAGCACGAAAGGGTGTGAGAAGCTTCCAAATGGCCAGAGCTGGTCCGAAGGCTTCAACCTCAAGCCCAAAAGCTCAATGCGACCAAGGGGAATTTGGCTATGGCGAAGATGTATCGGCCTCGATGTGTCGATGTGCTACTCACGTGCTTTCTCGAGCAGGTTGTCATCAATCAATGTTTGCGATTGTGCCAATTCATTGGATTACTACTTCGAACAGTGCGAGACTCTTCTGCGAATCACTTGCTTTATGCATGGTGTTTTAGTCTCGCGTTTATAAAAAGGATTTTACGCTACTCTACACCCTCATCCCTGGACTGCTTAGATCATGAACCCCAGAGCCCCAAAGCCAGACGGGGGCCGACATCGGGTCTCCTTGTCGCGGGATTCGACGGGTATTCTAGAGATCGTATTGCTGTCGCCTTCTTAGGAGACTTAAGGTGCTTCAGTTGTCCAAGATGGATTGCTTCCTCCACCACCATCGCTGAAGTTCAACCTCGAGATCTAGTCAAAGTTCCATCGGAACAACCTGAGACTGTACGTTGCCCGACAAGCCGAAACACAGACAGAGAAATGCTGGCAGAACAAACCCACACCAGCCTGCCCGCCAAGAACTTAACCCCATCCCACCTGAAGCCGTTACCACATGACACGAACTACGGGCAAGGGCAGGCCCTACGAGCCCCCAGTCGCGTTGAGTTATTGCGGTTGTGCAGTGCTTCGAGTAATCTAGTACCGCGAGCCTTCCGCTCCGAAACCGCAAAACCAAGACCCATTCAGCCAACCTCATGAGCCCCTGGACCGAGGAGGATGGGGCACAGCGAGGAGCTTAGTTGCGCCGTTGCTCACCCTCAGTAGGTTTCTGGGTTTTTCGGCATCAGGGTTCAGTCAGTAGGGAGGAAAGAGATGAGATTCATGGCCCGTGGTCGCTGTTTTCGGCTTTGGGGTGAAATACTGGCGCCACTCGAGAATGATCTGCTCGCGCTTCGCACAACAAGTGTTCTGCTTTCTGGTTCATCAGTCAGGGATCGGCCTTACAACAGCTGTTTGGGGCTTGTGTATCAGAGGGGAATTTACATGTGCCCCCCCCGTTCCACCCGAAGTTTTAAACACACGTGTTGCATCTGATTTTGCAGAAGACCCTGGTTCGCAAATGCTAAAGCAGGCCCAAGAATTGTGGGTGGCGGTTGCTGAAGCCTTCAGGAGATTCAGAGACCTTCGAATGTACTCATATCAGATCTTCAAAGCAAAGCAAGATGTCATTCTGACACTGAGGCCAAGCGAGAGGACACCATAAAACCAAACCGCTAGTGCCTTAAACCCGAAACCTGAAGCCCCAACAGCCCAACCCCAAAGCCACGGACCCTCAACCACAAACCCCGCCGCAAGCTTGGTGGCTCTGAACGCTAAATCTTCGTAGGGCATGTTCCGAAGGCAGCTGTGTAAGATGCATTCTCAACTAGACCCTGCTAAAAATATGGGGACCCCGTCACAGTTTGTCAGGTCCGTCACAGAGCCAGGAACCGGGCTTGAGCAAGGCCAGTCCCGCTCTGGCTTTACCTGTCGTAGATTGCAACAGAGAGTACTGACTAATGTTGTACTAGTAGTGTCTAATGTTTACTACCTGATTGGTCAAGCTGTATAGCCATATGTTACTGCTAACCACAGCAATGGCAATATTCAAGTGCGGATACGTAGTCGTATTAGTAGTAGTAGTAGTCGTCGTCGTCGTAGTCGTAGTCGTAGTCCCACTCCTACTAATAATTATAACAATAATAGTACTTCTACTAGTAGTAGTAGTAGTAGTAGTAGTAGTAGTAGTAGCAGTCGTAGCAGCAGCAGGAGTAGTAGTAGTAGTAGTAGTAGTAGTAGTAGCAGCAGTCGTAGCAGCAGCAGGAGTAGTAGTAGTAGTAGTAGTAGTAGTAGTAGTAGTAGTGGTAGGGGCAGTGGTAGTGGTAGTGGTAGTAGTAGTAGTAGTAGTAGTCGTCGTCGTCGTCGTCGTCGTCGTGGCGGTGGTGGTGGTGGTGGCAGCAGTAGCAGCAGCAGTAGCAGTAGCAGTAGCAGTGGCAGTAGCAGTAGTAGTAGAAGCAAATTAGTAAGTAAATAAGTAAGTAAGTAAGTAAGTAAGTAAGGAAGGAAGAAAAGAAAGTAAGTAAGCAGGAAGGAAGGAAGGAAGGAAGGAAGGAAGGAAGGAAGGGAGGAAGGAAGGAAGGAAGGAATGAAGGAAGTAAATAAGTAAGCAAGTAGTACGAAACAGGAACACAAACAAACATAGTTCAACGATAGAACAATGGCATACCAATGGTGCTTTAGCAGAAGATGTTGCAATGTTGTAGCAATAAGACGACAGTGCTGTACCTATACCCTATTCCGGCAGGTTACAGGTCGTTGTTGTGCTTCGAAGGTGGGCGTAGGCTAGATTTTTGATCAACGCAGGTGTGGGATGCTGGTGTACATATGAATATTTAGCTTGCGGCCGAGGTACAATGACAAGGACGAAGACTGTGGCATCTAAAATCTAAACTTAACCTTGGTTGCCCATAACGGAACCATAGTTGCCAGTTCGACATTCTCGTATGACTTCTGGAACCACCCCCCAAACCCACCTCCACAAGTGCGAGTGGCCCGCTTGCAAACGAAAGAAACATAGATGATCATTCAACGTAGCCTGCGTACGGTAAGATCCTTGAGGCTTATGAGACTTTGCCCTACATGTAAGCCCGAATGAACCTTGGCGATGAAGTTCCACGGCACTTCGTTGCAAGCCCTACAAGAAGACTCGTAAATCTCCAAGTCCCGAACCTCTAGACACTAAGACAACGGACTGTTAGCGGCAAACCTCTCATCCCTAAAGCCACAAACCCTTAATCATGAATCCGTTTACAAGCGCCCGGCTTTCTAAACCCTTTTTCTTCAACTTCTGCACCCCAAAAATCCAAGCCCTTTGTTGTAAGCCCCTTACCCAAGAATCGCAACAACCTTAACTGTTACTGTCTAGGCCATAAGACCCGATAGCCCTGCACCCGCCATTTGTCGTCTTGGAGCTGTCCATGTGCTTGCGAGGTTCGTCGGGTGTTGCCGAGGACGCCAGCGGAGGGCATGTCTTCAGGGTCGACACTTTCATCTTTGGGGTCAGTGCCTTAAGGTTTCGGGTCCGTGCAGGTGCTAGTGTTCACAAAGTGAAGGATACTTCAAGGCTAGAGCGGAGTTTTAGAGCTTACGCTGTTTTTGGTGTGTTGGGCTTGTTAAGAGGCATGCATGAAGCTCCATGGCCAGTATTCCTGAAATCTCGGCAAGCTACTACTGCATTCAGGACCACTTGAAGCTTCAAACCTGTAACCCTTCACCCAGCTCCCCACCACCGTTACTCCCGACACGAAAGGGCTGGGGTTGAGCAATATCTCCCTGCCGGGGCCCTGCTATTGTGTGGGCTTCAGGTGTGGGATATAGAGTTCAGGCCAGTATGAGTCTTTGAAAGCTGGGGCTTCCGTTGTGTTTGCGACGGATCCAGTTTTTGCGTTTGCGTAAGGGTTGTCTGTTCTGCAACTTGCCATATACGAGTCCCGTGTGCCTGGCGCTGACTGTCGGTGACTTATGCTCTAAAGTTTTAGGTTGTCGGGTCTGGGTTCTGTGGACGAGGCGGTGTAGGACTTTCGGATTTAGGGCCAACGCTCCACCAAACTCGACCCTAGTAAAGATCAAACTACATACAGCCCTTCTGGCTGAATCTTATCCCCAGAGCAAGCTAGGCAAGTCCAGATTCTCTGGCATCAGTCGGAGCAGGCGGTAGTCGTTTCGAACCTTCAACCCTAAAACTTAAGCCCCAAATGTACTCTAGCCGACCAATGAGGTGTGTCACCAAGAATGATGCTTTAGACGAGGGCTCGGCTACCTTAATAACTGTAGGCGAGCACTGCTTGTGAAACTAGAGAGATGACCTCTTGCTGACATGGTCTCTGTGACCTTTGTGCATTGAACAACAGCACCTCAGGCCTGAGCGTACATGAAACGGTGCCGAAAACCAAGCCCTCAAAGCCCCCCACCCGGTAGACAAGATCCCCGTCAAACATGCCAAATCAGCTCCTGAGGAGAAGCCCTTGGAGGGAGAGGACGGATGAAGATAAGAGGGTCGTGATGTCATTGGGCTGGGATTGAAGGTGAACGGCTTTAGGGTGAACAATGGCGTCCTTCGTGTGGGTTCAGGAGATGCTTGAGAAGCCGACGGTACGGATGCGAGTGGTCTGTGAATGTCATTCCAACCTTCGTCGTCCACGTTTGCACAGCCCAATCTGAATTGGTCGCCGCGGGTCAGAGTTCTTATAACGGTGCTGGAGTGCTGTGAGATGCAGCAGTGCAGCGAACAGGCAGCTGCGGTACAGCTTTCCTTCGCCAGTCCCGACACCACTGACAAGTTCTGGACTGGACTTTCAGAACCGAGTTCCAGCTCGCACTGTATGTGTTGCGAGCGAGCCGTCAAGAGAATCCTTGATCAAAGCTCCGAAGCCCTTGACCACCTTCCACCAGGAAGTCGAGGTCAATGGCACCTTGCCCTTTGGCAAGATCCTGTTGGCGACTGCGGCGCTGTGCCTGACTGGGGTGACTTCGGTCAAGAAGGGAGACAGGTAGGAGCAGACTCATGACCTTGCCAGCTTGTTACCTAGGATAGAAGTGGGGAAGGCCAAGCTCCGAATCCCAGAGCAGATTCCGGAAAACGCATGCAGAGAGATTTACGGCATAGTTTCCAACTTTCTAAAGCTTTAGTTGGAGACCGCGCAGCCCCTATTCCGAAGGCTCCGAGTGATTGCGACTGCTAGACTGAAACTCCTGGTGAGCCGAAGACCCGAAGGCTCTTATATTGCAAACCAAGCCCAATGGAAATAGACCCTGGGGAGCCGAGAATTCAAGCTCGCACGCCGTTGCTACATGTTAGCTGTTAGCAGTTAGCAGTTCTGAGATCTAATTCCGACAGAGTTGGTTTAAAGTATTGAAAAGATTCGACAAGAGAGATTAAAATGCAAGGTGAACATCGTAGTCGACAGATTGTCCACTTCAACCCGAAGCCCAAAGGTCCTTTGCCTGCGTTGCCGGCCCCTTGGCTGGTTTCCAGCTGTCGGTGCGTTCAGGCCTGGGATTCTGTAGTCCTCAGAAGCCGCAGCCTAATCTCCTTGCCTAGAAGCCTGCAAGCTGTTCCCTGAGCCCACGTCCGAACTGCATAGCCGACCATTCCGAGATTTCACCCGTGAAAAGGGCTATGCGGAGACCAGTAGTATAGATAGTATCAGACGGAGGGTCTCCGCAACCCTGAACCGTGAAGAGCGCTGCCCCCCCCCCCCCCCCCCCCCACTTCGGAAGTGGCTGTTTCTTGTTGCTAGTGGGCAGCCAAGGAGAAATCAAGACAAAGGCGGCCTGGCTTGCTATACTGTCATGCCTCGTTCTTCATGTGTTCAATGCTTCCAATTTTTGGCTCCCGTTGAATGCCCAGCCAACAATCCCCCACCGAGGGCTTGTTAAATCGGCTTGAGATGCTTGCCATGTTGCCAGCATGTGTACTGTTGCCGTCATTGTCGTTGTCGTTTTGGTTGTGGTTGTTGTAGTTTCGGCTTTGGTTGTGGTTACTGTTGCTCGTGCTGGGATGGTGCTGGTGTTGTGGTTGTGGTTACTGGTGCTCGTGCTGGTGCTACACTGGTATAGTTGCTGGCGGTGGTGTTGGCGGTGGCGGGGGCTGTGGGGCGGCGCTGGTGGTGCTGGCAGTGTTGGTGTTGTTGACGTTTATGTTGATGTTGATGTTCATGCTGATGCTGATGTTGAGGCTGCATCTGTTGATGATCGTGCCTACTACTACAAGCAGCCCTGTTTTCATGATCACGGATGTCATCGTCGGTTCCGATTAGTGCAATACTATGTGGCGGACTCGCGTCACCACTGCAAGAATGTAAATAGTCTTCCACACAAACATCATATCTGGAGCTGCTGCTTCTTAGGGACAAAAACTCCTGAACCTGAAGCTGGTCACCGACTGCCTCAGTTCTGAGGTCCTGGCGGGTTCTCCACCAGCTACGGGCGAAGCTATGCCCTGGACAATCTGTGATTGTTGTGGGGGCTGTCTGCATTGACGGTTTAGGCAGGGTCCCAGTAAAAGACACCGCGGAGGTCTACAATTCGACGGTAGGCAGTGGTTTAGGGTTCGGGAGCTTTGAGGTTGAGGTTCCCAGCGGGCTCGTTCCTTCGTCTGTCTTAGGCTGTTGGGATTCCTGGTTTGGTTCTTGTGGGCTTTTGTCTTCAAAGTTACGACTTCTGCTGCAAGTGCTGAAGCAGGTTCGGCCAAAGCTCCACACCAAGCTCGGCAGACGCCGAAGGCGCTCGCCGTAGAGTAGCTCGGCGCTGACAACCGGAAGCGCGGGTGGCATGGGAGCATTTCAACGCGAGTAATCCAGCGAGTGCAGGCTGAGACTTAACAATATTTTTTGCAGCGTCCATGTCCCTGGCATCTCGTAAGTCAGCAGATGCATGCAAGCGTCTTGAAAAATCGTTACGGTGGTGTTGATTGATTGTATCGCCTTCCAGTTCGAAGGGAGGTTTTGGGTTGATGTGGTTCGCAGTAAAGCAACAATTTACAAGCTTTGCGGCTTTACGCTTGCATAGGATTTAAAATCTGTTGTGGGGCTGTTCAGTTCCTGCATATACTTAGTGAGTAGTACACCCCACAAGATTATCTCGTTGTAGTTCGGCTCATTTCCTGCCTGTGCTGTATGTGGAGCATCTCGGAATCCCATTACTACTCACCAAGGTTGTTGAAGCCTTGAGTTCGAGCTTCAATCCCAAACCGCCCCAACATCTGGTATGTTGACGGTTTTAGTGTGTCTTCGAATCTCGAGACTCTGTTGAGGCAGGAGCGACAGACCCGAAAGCCTCGAAGCAAGCTCAGTCCCAGGGCCTGTGCACTTGCTGCTGCGGTTCTGATGTCCAATGGTATTATGATGGCAGTAGTAGTGATGGTGGTGGTAGTAGTAGTAGTAGTAGTAGCAGCAGCAGCAGATGGAGAAGGAGTAGTGCGTAGCAGCAGGAGCATGAGCAGGTGTGGGATTAGGAGCAGGAGGAGGAGGAGTAGATCGCCGTCGCCGTTGAATCTGCAGTAGTAGCCGCAGCAGCCGCCAGAGCAACAACTCAACTTACTGCATTATGGGTATCTTCTGCTGAGTTCAATTCCTGGTCATGATACTGCATGTTTACACTTGTGTGTTATTTTTTGCGGCGGGGGTTTAAGACTCCGGGGTCGGGCGAATCGTGCTTGAGTTTCAGGTATCGGTCTTGGTTGTGGAGCTCAAACTGTGTGTTGTTGCACGTTTTGTTGCTCGCAGCTTGGGGTGATCGTGATCGGACTCGGTCTCCGAAGGGTCTAGTTTGCGCAACTTAATTTCGGAATTCCCACCCCTTCTTCGCTTTGCACACCCGATAAGCATGTTCAGTTCATGTTTGAGGTCTTGCGCAGTTCAATCGGCAGCATCGATCCCTGCGTCTTAAAAGCCAATGATGAAACATCGAAGTCCTACTCCCTGAGCCTTTACGGCCCCAAGCTTGAGAGAACCTCTGGACCATGCTCCATGGCGTGCGGGTGCAATGCCTACCTGGTAAAGGCCAAGGACCGGGCGGAATATGCAGGCTAGGAGAAGTGCTTTGTGGGCATCTCTATTAGACCACTTTTGTTGAGTAAGCTGGCACGGGGTTTTGGGGTGCGTTGGAGGAGAGTATGGTATCAGTTGAACTCCTGAGTTCGAGCTCAGGGATCCACAGTGCGCCAAACTTTAGAAGCCCCACTTGCCGCGGCACATCGCGGACGCGGAGTTTCTGGTCCTAAAACCTTAATCAAACACGCTAGTCCGAGTGCGGAGCTTAACTTTGGAAATCTGTGAGGAATTTTGCAAGTTTTGCCGTTTGAGGGGTTGTGGGCGAGCGGCGTACAGCCTTGCAACGACAGAGAGCCGAGGACCATCCTCACGTCGCATTTGCCTCAACTCTGCAACCCGTGCACGGACACCCAATCTCAGACCTTACTCTAAACCCGGAGCCCGAGGCCCCTGAACCCCTAAACCTTGAACTTCCCGAAGGACTCGTAGCTTCGCGTGACCTGCCTGCGAACACGCTGATCCTCGGGGAAGACTCTCTTTTGCCACCCGCTACCGTTCAGGATTTAGAGTTTCATGATGTATCGGCGTTTTGGAAGCTTTCGAACAATGGAAGGGAAACAGCATGCTGAATGAGCTGGCCGTCGAGTTTCCCGAGAATCTATCTCTGTATACTGTAATAGTGTATATAACATGCGGCCTGGGAAGGAATTTAGGGACTCATGGAAGGGAAGGTTCGATTAGTTGTGATCTGGATAGCTGTTGTTTCGGGGTTCGCACTTTAAGATATGTTGCAATTCAAGGTGAATGTGGGTTGGTGCTCGGTACTTAGCCTGCGCAGCCTAGACCCTGAACTTGAAGTGACCTTAGGTGAGACTCTATAGGCTATGTAGAAGGGATTAGTGTGGGTTCCTGCAGTCTGCGCTCTGCAATCTCCAAGCCATATTCCATGCAATCCCTTACTCAGTCCCAAACCCTGTTGGCTAAGCACTACTGCAAACCTCGTAGAGGATGTGCTTGCTTCAAAATTGTTAACGCTTTTCCGAGCCTCATCAAAAAGTCTCATAGTTTGTGTGGCAACACCCCACTTGATGCATACGATTTTCTGCTTTCTGATGGCCATAATGCTGGCTCTACCTGAATCTCGCAAGCCGCAAGCCCCCTGGCCGAAAACTTTGCTACAATCTCGCAGTCCCGAAGCACGTTCTGCCGCGATCCTGGAGGCACTAGACTAGAGCCCTCAACGCCCAAATGCAAAACTAAACCCTAAACGTCGCAAAAGTAAGTAGTCCCGTGACCTCCGAACCCATGTGCAGGGCATACATAGTCCAACTTTTGACCCTTGCCCCCCAAATTCCGTACAACTTTTTTGCAACACCCATAGAACACTGGTTACAAAACAACCAATTTGAATGAAGGTCCGTGCCAAACCTGGAAGCACTCCGCGCCGAGACAGCCAATGCCTATCCAGCACTGTCCAGGCTCGAAGTTTGGGTTTTCGGGTTGGGCGGTTTGAGTTTAGCATGTTCGGTGTCTGGATTTGGGGCTTGCTTGTCGTTTTAGAGGACAGCGGGTTTCAGTGTAGGTTATGGGATTTGGGGTTTTGTTTGTTGTTCCCAGTATGTACTGTACTTCCATCGTCTACAGACTTGTTTTGCTCCTTGATGTAGTGTTGGTTGATGCATGGGTTTTTGGTCCGTCAGAGGACTTTGCGGCTTTGCTGTGCTGTTTGTACCACTATAGGCCCTAGGCACTAAACCTAAACGCGTTTTGATGTTTCGAAGGGCACCCGCAGACTAGACAGCGTTGCAGAATGAAGGTTTTCGTGGTTGCGGGATGAAGGCACAGGAGGCAGGATGACACCCAGAACCCTACAAAGTGACGGGGGGATCATTGTTGGTTTGCTTCTCTTGTTAAACGGCCCTAGAATGAGAAGACGCAATGTCTTCCCAAGCCCCAACAAGCAGTCCTACTTGGAGGCACTCTGCTCAGTGCCACTCTGCCGTCTTTCCACCGGCAGTGTTAACTTTTGGCTACTCATGAAATTTCAGGCGGACCCCCCACTCTTCTCGTTACCCTATACACCTCCCCAGCACAGGCCCTACATAGGTAGACCCCATCAAAACCCCACATAAACCAAAGCATAAATGCTACGTGCCAGCGGGCGCCGCCAGGACGTTGCGCAGCGAGAGCATGCGCGAAACCTGGCTTCCGAGGATTTTTAGGATTCGGGTGTGCATCGAGCTTCGGGCTGCGACTTGTCAAAGAGTAGTCTTAGGGAATCAAGTTGGTCCGCAAGTGAAAGGCGAATTATGAAGCCTTGTTGTACAAGCGAGTGTAGACGTTTAATGCATCACGTCCTCGAAAACGTGCCTCTGAGCAAGACCATCAAGGGCTCAAGGCCCAGAGGGGGAACCTGTTCAGGCGAAGGCGTTTGACCAAAGCCTGCAGTTCTTGCCTTGACTTCTCCGCATATCCTACGTCGGAAACTTCAGATCCATAACTCCCAGGCTAAGAGTTTCCAGTGCGTGGGAGGCGTGCGTTTCAGATCTTGGCGGCTTGGAGCATCAGGCTCTCAATCGACTTTGTGCTGAAGACGCCCACATCGTGCAGGCCAGTGCAGGCTTTGTGTGGCATAACAAGCGCGCCAACAACCTTCGAATTGGCAAGGGTACTAGTCCGGGCTTATTGGCAGAGTTGGGAGTGTTTGGGGCTGTAAGTTCGATTGCGTACACAACTCCATCCCAACATAGAGTTTGAAGTCCAAGCCAAGGACCTGAGATCCTCTTGGATATTTAAACACCGCCGTTCTGCCTACTGTCCTGCTCCGCGCGAGAGCAGAGATGCGGAAGAGAAAGCGACAACGAGAATGGAGGTCTCTGACTAGTTCTTTGACAACTGTTTAGTTGTTGCAGGTCATGGCAATTGGACAGAGTTACTACGTTGTGTTTAGTCGACGAGCTTGTGCCTTCTTTGCCTGAATTTACCGACAGAACCCTGTTCCCACCATACGGCCTCGATAAGCCGCGGGATTTACTGAATGTACAGGTGTTCACCTTCCCTAGTAAACCCCGAAGCCCCTAAAACCTGAAGCCACTAAACCCCTCATGTACTCACGTCCCCAATGCACTAAACCCTTCGTGGCAGGCCTGTGCAGATGCCTTGGAATCTGCCACGCCGAGACAGCGTCTGGTTCTCGCCTCAGTCTTTGCATAGAGGGCAGGAGCTTATGGGACTTAGGGGCGTAGGATCTCGTGGCTTAGGGTGTAGATCTCGAGTTTTCGGGTATGCGGTTTCGATACATTGCTCTCGCGGCTATTCACTTCCAGTTCAGTTCCGAGTTTCCGAAAACCGATCTGGCCACATTTGACCCTGACCCCGTCAGTAGCTGCAACCCCATCAAAACAGCTACTTAGTAACATTGACAAGACCCAAAAACTCTGAGCTGCCGAGCCCACTCTCCCTG